TGAAGCACAAAGAGATTATGACCTGCCAAAGGCTGCAAAACTAATATGGAGAGAAATGAGTAATTTGAATCTAGAAATTCTACTGAGTTTGTGCTTTCAACCTTCATGCTAGATTTCCTGAGGATTTACAGAGCAATGAGAAATTCCATAATTCAATCATATGACAATCATAAAACTTGCCAGCTAGCAGTATTTTAAAATACTAATTCCTCTACCAACCCACTTGGGACAGGGGATGGTATTAATTCAACAAGCTCCTGAGCTACTAAGCTTTTCTTTTTTTTTTTTTTGAGACAGAGTCTCATTCTGTCCTCCAGGCTGGAATACAGTGGTACGATCTTGGTTCACTGCAACCTCCTCCTCCAGGGTTCAAGCAATTCTCCTGCGTCAGCCTCCCGAGTAGCTGGGACTACAGGGGTGCACCACCATATCTGGCTAATTTTTTGTATTTTTAGTGGAGATGGGGTTTCACCCTGTTAGCCAGGATGATCTCAATATCCTGACCTAGTGATCTGCCCGCCTCGGCCTCCCCAAGTGTTGGGATTACAGGCGTCAGCCACCACTCCCGGCTCTAAGTTTTTTATGAATGCTAAGTTTGATTTTTCATTACACTTAAACAAAACTTTTTGATATTTCTATCTCTGGCAAGTACTAAACTCTTAACAAAACAGAGTGAAGATATTTTCTAAATTTACTACGACATCATCACAATGTTCATACATTTTTTAAAAGCACAGGGAAAGTGTATTTATATTTGAGAATTTATGTCCAGTCCCTGACAATAGCCTTAAACCTATCATTAGAAAAAAATTTTGGCCAGGTACAGTGGCTCATGCCTGTAATACTAGCACTTTGGGAGGCCAAGGTGGGCAGATCCCTTGAGCTCAGGAGTTCAAAACCACCCTAGGCGATAAGGCAAAACCCCACCCCTACAAAAAATACAAAAAAATTACCTGGGTGTGGTGGCAGTCACCTGTAGTCCCAGCTACTTCGGGGGCTGAGGTGGGAGCCCAGGAGGTCAAGGCTGCAGTGAGCCAAGATTATGCCACCACACTTCACCTTGAGTGACAAAGTGAGACCCCGTCTCAAAACAAAAAAAAAAAAAAAAAAAAAAAAAGATGTGGAAGACTTCTAGAAAACAAAGAGAGAACACACAGATACAAGACAAACTACAGAAAGATTCTAGAATAGTCAAAAGCTAGTAAAAAGGAAAGTAATTTAAAAGAAAAATGTCAGGAGCCAAGAGAGTGACATGACAACATTCTGAGAGAAAAAGGAACCAAAGACAAAGAAAGGAAAAAGATCTACTACGGAGATTCTGACAAGCACTTCAGAAAACATACAAAGTGCTAACCAGCAACTGCCTCTCTATACATATAAAAGTAATTCTACTTCATGGTCAAATCGTCAGTTCTGATCACATTATCTTGCTCTTCTTCTGTGAAGTATACCATGTAATAAAACTTAAATGTAAAGTAAGTCATACTTTGAAAATAGAGACAGCTGTGTTAAAATTTGCTTTCTAATTTTGTTAAGAGTTGGATATTTGGAGTTCTCCCTGGAAAGTAAATGAGTAACAACAGTAAATATAATAAATATCTATTATTTCAAGAAAACCTACTTTATGAAAAGTCCTTCAAGATGTCAACTTGCATTTTATTTAAAGAACAGAAAGACCATTATGAATTCAGTGTATACTCAGTTACTCAGTGTTAAAAACTGTTTCAGAAGTTATTCAAAAAAGAGATTTTAGTATCCTGGGAAAACCCTTTTTTTTTTTTTTTTTTTTTGAGACAGAGTCTTGCCCTGTCATCCAGGCTGGAGTGCAATGGCGTGATCTCGGCTCACTGCCACCTCCGCCTTCCAGGTTCAAGTGACTCTCCTGCCTTAGCCTTCCAAGTAGCTGGGATTACAGGCATGTGCCAGTATGCCTGATTAATTTTTTTTTTTTTTTTTTTTAATCTTTAGTAGAGAAGGGGTTTCACCATGTTGGCCAGGCTGGTCTCGAACCCCCGACCTTGTGATCCGCCTGCCTCAGCCTTCCAAAGTGCTCAGATTACAGGTGTGAGCCACTGCGTCTGGCCAGGAAAACTCTTAAAATTCAATTAGTAATAGATTAATTGAGTTATTTTACTAAACCCCTATACTCACTTAATACTACGGATATATTTCAAAAGTGAGAATGGGATTGAGTTTAATAAGCACAACACATCAGTCATGAAAGTTACATTCTTCTCTGTGAAGTCCCCAAATATAATTTTAAAATGCTAAGAATGTGTGTATGACTAAACATTCCCAGTGTTTCCAAGTTAGGGATATAAGTAGGGCAATATTTTGAACCAAAGATATCTTCTATAATATATTCCGAAGGTCTCATTTGAGACCAGACAGTAGTTTAAGAAGCAAAAGAATTAGGCTAAAAGAAATACATACCACTGGGGATATGGAGATCTAAATGTATATAAAGATATAGACATATCCATAGATTTATCTGCACACGTGCACTCCATTAAACACTTTCCAGCCACAGAAAATAGATTTATCAGCCAATAATCTCCAATCCTTTCACTACACACATCAATTCATTCAACTTCAAAGCCTGGAAGAGGGACTTAGAAAGCACTTAATGTAAATGATTGTGGCCCATAATTACAAACCACCTGTCCTCTTATTTACAGCCATAGCTCTGTCTCAGAAAATAGTACACAAGGCTGAAAGAATCAGCTAGTAAGGATGTACAGTGAAAAAAACTGTCAAAACACTATTGGATGCTAAAACTTGCACACTGCAGAGTTCTACACAGATTTTCTCTAAAGTTATAATAGTGTCTTAATGGCAACTTAGGATTCTGTGTCCATAAAGAACATAATGTCTTAATGTTGTCTATAAACAAAGAAATTAAATGCTGTACCCTTTGACTAATATAACTTACAAAAGCTTAAAGCCAAACAAACATCTCAGGTTTAACAAAAATATAAATCCACTGAACATCACTAAAAATAGTACAGTTTGCGTACTTTTAAAAAGGAGTTTTTTAAAACCAAGTGTATTTTGGTTATGTAACAGGGACAATGAACCTCTCTTCCTGGAAAACATGATATACACCTGTATCACCAGAATCTGACTGTAGCATTAGTGACTATACACAAAATGGCCCTTGTTCTATGTGCTGATAACTCACTTAGGTATGAAGTCTGATCAATTTTGGAGATGTTTCTTTTACAGTGGATGGCAGATGACAGCAATCTGGTCAGTTTGGTCAACTGAATTGAGGTAACTATCCTATGGCCTTAACACTAGCTATTCCCTTGCCTTCTTCCACTAGACCCAAAGGCCCTCAAAGAAAGAAATGAAGACTCTTTTTCCTTCATTAGAATGCCTAGCACAATGCCTGGCATATAGTAAGCACTCAGTAAATAAATACTGACTCAATGAATCTGTTCAATAGAATAAGCCAAACTAGATGTTTTAACTCCCTAAGTTTTATTTACTTCAAGGCTCTCAATTTTTGCCTAGACTGGATAGTTATAAATGTCTCCTCTGTCCTAAGCAAATCTCTCATGATTAATCAATTTTTGTTCATAATAAGGAAATAAACACAAGACTTTTTTTCCACTCTGCTCTAAATAGTTTGGTTTCGACCAATACAAGCTCAAACCAAATGTAATTCTGTTTTCGCTGCTTGCCTTACTCTGACCTGACAAATACAGTTTTGCCTTTAAAATATGCTTTAGAATAATACTTGTTAGGTAAATTAAGTGACTTAGACTCTTCCATTATTTAATACTTATGACAATAGGCATTCAGCATTCAGAGATTAGCAAAAATCTACAAACCTAAGTGCATAGAAAGCTACACTGGCTGAGAACAAATTGAAAACAATAATGTGATCAATAGACAGATCATATACTTCAAGTTTTTAACTTTTGATAATCAGTCATAATACTAATGAGGCCAAAGTTACGAGCTTAATCTGTACATGTTTTGCAGCATGGACAGTACTCTAACTTGAATTAGCAGATAGGTATGGGGTTAATCACATAAGAGAATATAAGAGAACAAGAATCCACAGAAATCCATCTCCCTAAGTTTACTCAAAAAGTATTCACACGTAATAGGCGGTAATGTCAGCGACAAAACCATATTATTAATTTAGGTAAAAGTTCACAGGCCACGCAAAAATTCTTTGAGGTTGACGATTTCTTTCAACATATATGGGATTATATTCTATCTATAACCCCAACAATTCCCAAATATCAATAAGTAATACAGTTACATACTAACATTCCATTTCTAAGGCACAACTATATTATGAGTCCCATTATAAAACTAGAATTAATACAATCATGATCAAGTAATGCAAGTTAAGATCAAATCAAAGGAAGAGTGCTGCATCGGTATCATTAATTTAAAAATAGCTGTAGGCAAAATATATAGTTTTTAGGTCTCTCTGGGCAGGGGCCGTTGAGAAAAAAGTAAAAAAAAACCATATATATATACACACACATATGTATGTGTGTATCTGAGATTCAACTAACAAACAAGATTGTCTTATGGGCTGTTTCTTGAATTAATAATTTGAAACACACATCCTCGTGTGCAGTGCTAACATTGGTAGGCAGTGGCAGAATTCACTAGAGACCTTGATGGAAGTGTCTAAGCCCCACGCCCACTCCCTGAGATTGTTTTTGCTATTTTGAGGCATTTTGAAGGAGCGCAAGTTTTAGTTAAGCACATGAAATTCTGGTTCAGTGTGGAAACTCTGCCATCAGCTCAATACATTTACCTGGAAAAGGAATTTAAGTTTTGTGGCAATCTCTGTCTATGCCAATCTGCCCAAATTCCTAACAGACAGATAAGACATATTGGAGGATATGTAAATTGTTTATTGTCTTAAAATTCCTTGCATATCCTTTAATTTTAAAAAGAAGTTAAAAATAAAGTCAGCATTAACAGCATAAGAAATATGTGTTCGAGATACTCATCTGAAGAAAAGTTACCTAGTGTAACTGGGTCTGGGTTGACGGGACTCTGCTGCCTGGAGTGACTGCTGCTACTGCCGCCACCTTTTTTTAAGTCCTCGGCATCACTGTATCGCCGGATCCAGTAATTCAATTCTTCCCGGTCTGCTTCTTGACACCGCCTTAGTACGGTGAGAGATCGCCTTGTTTTTTCTACCATGTCCATTATGCAGTTTAACAGCTATGTGGGAAAGGGGAGAATAGGGAAGAGAGTATAAATCATCACAATTAAAGATTTTACTGAATCGTGAAACAAACCATTTCAGGACAATGAAGGAAGCAATTTTATCCCTGAAGGTTTTGGTCTAGTATTTTCTACAGCTAGATTTGAAATTCAGAGCCAATAGATGAGAAAATTCGATGGGAATGAGAAGATAGATGTATGAACACAAGACAGAAGGGAAATTTCACCTGAAGGCACTATAGCCAGTAAATCCACCTCTCTAAATACTAATCCCATTACTTTATAAATTAAATAACCTTTTCACAATAAAACAGTAGCCCACTGATCTGGCTTTGAGAATTCCTTTCCAAGATCTAAACATTTCTCTTAAGTGGCTTTCATATCAATTTAGAAATCAAATTCTACATTCTACCTCAAATATTCTCGCTCATTATTTTTTTCAAGGATAGCAGGAAACACAATACCTTCAAAGGATCACCAAGCTTTTATTTTATCACATAACCTCACTCCAGTTGTTTTCCAAACATTTTTTAATCCCAAATGATTACTGATGTCTTACGTGGTCAAGATGTTTCCACTCTTCTGCCCATTCTCTGTCTGTTAGTCTGTGATCAATCATTTCTTCTTGACGTGTGCCATGCAACCCTACAAAAATAGAGAAGGCTGAATAACCCTAAAGCGTTCAGTATACAACCCATACACACACAGACTCACAGCAAGGACTATATGGGCAAACTCAATGATGTAAAAATACATTTGATTCTGAATGGAGACATGATTCAGAATTACCTAATAGGTTCCTCACAGAATGATAAAATACTAGAACTAGAAGGAATTTCAGAGGTCAGCTGGTCAGAAGACTTTATTTTACACACAAGAGACAGTTAAGTGACACCAAGCCCACAGCTAGTTATCCACGCAACACTCTGTAAGTAAAAATACATTCTAACTCTTAACAAATACAAGAAACCACAAGTAGACATTAAGTGGTTTTTAAAGCATTGACGTCCTGCATTAAAAATAAAGATAGCATAAGTCATTTTACATGGGAAGGGACATGCTTTCCCAAAACAAGCATGGTAAATTTTTCCATATTTCAGCCTTGTATAAAAGAATACAATCCTAACACATATACCTACATGACAAAATTAGACCATGAAGAGAAGGCTTGTATAATATGGAGCTACATATACTCATTTGGTTTACCAAAAAATAAAAAATAAAAGTAAATTGGACATCCTTCATTACAAAATTAACATACAAGATATAATTTGACAAATATCATAAATCCAAGTGAACCAACTGAAAATCCTAATCTGAAGTCCATAAGACTTAATGCTCTTTAGCATCATAGTTAAGATACCACTATGAAAAAGTAATATATAAGTGTTTACCAAGTGAGCACCAGTATTAACGAATTTAAGCAGTTAGCTAGGATGCTCATTAAAATAGGAAGTAAATGTGTCTCACTAAAAAGATGGGCTGAAAGGTTCCGATCAGAGAAACCTGGAAACGTGTTGTTCCTCTTACATATTCACTTTATATTCTGTTGAATAGGAAAGTCATTGAGCTGTGGCATTATTTTGCAATTTAAATGAACAAAATTATTATTTTTGGTTACCAATTCTCAAAATGTTACTCTGAACAGCAAATAAGGTTTCTTATAGTTTGGGTTTCTAGATAACTGGGCTACCTCTCTGTGGAACTTATGTAAGAATTAAATGACCAAACGAGTTATAAGACACTGAATTTTACTTTTTGTGAGATATAAGTGGTTAGAAATCCCTTTTTTTTCACTGATGTACACAAATAAAGATGAGTCACATGACTCTGTTCAGCCAACCATGTAAAGAGATTTCATTTACAACTGATGGAAGTGAACAAATTTATGACAACCCTTTCTCAGACTAACTGAAAAGCTAAATGCAAGATGCTTTGTACCACTCCTGTCCAATTAGAACATATTCTAAGATATATTTTAAAAGTTAAAATTGTCAATGCCACCTATTGGTTAAAAAGTAAAAGTGCAAATATGTTTTATTAATTTGCATAATATAAACACATTGGGAAAAATAGTACTTAGTTACTGCTCTGTTGTGATTATTTCAAGTTGAAATGTTTGCAAATATGTAATTTTTGTTAACTTATTTGTTGCCTGTGTTTTAGGGAAAAACCACCACTGTTAAAATTAGTCACCACAGAAAATAACCAGAAAGTGATAAGGATATAAATGTGACAGTGACTTCCATGTTAGAGGCATCTGACTATTTGCCTTTAAGGACAAGAATTCCAGAGGTCTCAAAAGCTTGAAAAATTCAGCAGAAGAAATCAGTAATGACACAAGCTGTAACGCCTGGAGTAATATTAATGAGCAACAGGACATCTGTGGTAGTGGGATTTCAGCATTTGTGAAACAGTACTAAGCTTCATCTCATTTAAAAAAAATACTAAGTGTTAGAAACATGTTTGAGCTCAAGTACTTGCTGAAAAAATGTAAGATTCATTTGCTGCTTTTGAACACTGAAAGTCATTTGTTAGATATAATCAAATCTTTAAAAATAAAAAATAAATCAAGATTTTACATTTACTAATTTCTCTATTTAAGATACTTAAATATTCAGCAGCACACAATTTTTATTTATAGTCATAACACCAGAGGGATGTACCAGGGGAAAATAGCTCATAATCATTAAATAGCTCATAATCACATTTTCATTTGTGGGAAATTTGACACTAATGTTGAGTCTTAACTAGTTATTTTGTTTTAGAATATTTTGACTAGGCTAAAACTCTAAGCTTACTTATAAACTAATGCCGCTAACAGGTTACTTTACTGAAGGATTCTAGTGAGTATATGTCCCTACACATAATAGGCATTTATAAATCGTACCAGACTAAGTATATCTTTATGACAATTTTTATATTCTCAAAATGGCAGCCTGATGTAATACCATAATTTGTTGCTCATACATCAAGATTTTATTTTACATTAACACACACTAAACTCTGCCAGACTTTAGGGATGGTTTAGTAGCTGCACATATTTATAGAGATTAGCACTATTAGTTTTATAAGCTAATATAATTAAAAGGTAAGGAACATGGTCTGAAGAAAATCACATAAAAGCAATGGATACAGATATAATTCATAAAGGGATATTTTACATTACTTGATGAAAACATAATCGTTGCACATAAGTGTAATTACTTCCTTGCTGATTACTGTATAGTGCACTGGAACTAATATTTCACAAAATAGCACCTGCTGCCTAAGAAACAGGCCATTTGCTAACATATCTACAAAATGGGATCCCTTGAATTGGTCTCACCACGACCTGATGACTCCACTGCTATTTAAAAACATGCAGTCATGGTTTTCAGTACTTAAGTCATAAATAAATGCTAAGGCTTTGTGTAGAAGGGAATTGTTATCACATTTGATTTTGGGGTCCAAATATCAATCCAGATCAAGAAATAGCATAACCACCTTTGAAAGCTCTTCAGAAATGGTACCTGTGAGAACATTAGACAGATTGGCTATTAAGAAAGCACAAATTATATGCTTAGTCATTTGTCTGACACACTATATAAACGTAGAAATTACTGTTGTGGAGAACCAGAACTACTAATTTACTATCTTACAACCAAAGCTTCAATCGCCCCTCCCCTCATCCTGACTCTTCCTGCTTTCTAAACATTTGGGGTGTTGGGCATAGAAAGGCAAAAAAGGCCCTACACGTGGAGCCCCTGTTTGCTAGCAACATATTTGGAAATCAAATGTAAACTTTATATATTAAGACTCTCTCTGCCTGTGGCTAAAAACAAAACAAAACAAAAACCACCATCACTGTAATCAAGTAGTGAATAACTGGCTGGCTACATTCCCCAGAATTCTGTATCCTCAGCTCTGTTTTTGGGTTTTCTACTTGCACTTCATCCCCTGCTCTTTCTAGTGTACTGGCCACTAAGTCACCTGCATCAGGAAAGTTTGCCAGCAATTCGTTACAAGGTAGAGAAAGTCCTGTTGGTGGGTGATGTGGACACAGGAGATGGAAAAAGAAGAGGAGACTCACTATTGCTCTCAGTTAGACTCATCACTAATTAAGAATTGAAGGCACTCCAGTAACAGTGTACTTACTAATAACCCTCTGATACACTATCATCTCCACCACTGAACCACTAATCATGTGTTTAAAAACTTACCTTGTTCATCTTCTCTCTCACTTTTCATGGTAGACATTTGTTCTACAGAAGGCAATGTCTTCAAAATGCTTTACTACTTTTTTTTTTTTTTTTTTTTTTTTGAGACAGGGTCTTGCTCTGCCACCCAGGCTGGGGTGCATGGTGTGGGGTGCAGTGGCATGATCTCATCTCACTGTAACCTCTGCTTCCTGGGCTCAAGCAATCCTCCTGCCTCAGCCCCACAGGTAGCTGGGGCTAAAGGAGTCCACCACCATGCCTGGCTAATTTTGTAATTTTAGTAGAGACGGGATTTTGTCACAGTGCCCAGGCTGGTCTCAAACTCCTGAGCTCAAACTCATCTACCCATGTCGGCCTCCCAAAGTGCTGGGATTATAGGCGTGAGCCACTGCACCCAGACAAAATGCTTCACTTCTAATAGTTTTATGCAAAGAAGGAATGAACACAGGGAAATAGAACACATATTTGCCCAAATTCACTTCTTCAGTATTCCGATCCTTGACCCCAAATTGTCAATATTAACTTCAATCACTGGCATTTTCAAGTAAACAAAAGTACCAAATCATTCCTCAGAAAACATCTGTGAAGCCACAGATAGCATACCATATCATACTTTGGAAATATGGAATATCATGGAGGCTCGAAAAAAATCAAAATAAACGTAGAGACTATCTGAAACAAAAGACACAATGCAAGAAAATAAAGTGATTTTTAAAAATATTTGTGGCAGGCAGACTGCATATGAAGTCTCGTGTTAAAAGAGAATTCAAGCTAAAAATTTATTTTGCATTTGTTACAAACACAATTGAGGGTCTTGTATTAATACAGATGCCCTCCTCCAAAGAAATTTAGTGTACTGTCTTAAAGAATACAAGTGATTAGGAGAGAGACAGCGCACAGCTGTTGAAAAGTCTATTAATACCAATCAAGTTTTTTTCATAAAGGAGACAATATAAAGCAAGATAAGATAAGATAATTTTTATCCCTATCACAGATTTCAAGCCTCAAGTTCAGTTCAGAAGTAATGGTGCAAGTCTTCAAGCACCCAATCCCATAAGAAGTGAACAGATCCTTCAGTCTTACCCATAGGTCTGTTTCTGTCCCTGAGGTCCCTGTGGCTGGGGTGTCGATAGGAGTCCCTGTAGTGGTGGGCAATGGCCATATCATCCAAACGGTAATGCTGAGGTGGAGGTGGGGTGGGGTGAGGCAGGCCATTGGGCTGGTAGGATAAGCCGTTATTTGGACTGTACCGCTGGCCTGGGCTAATAGTGCATGGTCGCTTGCTTGGATGTTCTGAGTGCAAAGGCTCTCTGTCAAAGCCATTTTCTTTGGTTCTAAGAGGGAAAAAACAAGAGTTTGTTTCATCATCTATTCAGAAATCAGCACAGTTCAGTCACTCATATTTGAGCTTGGAATAAAGACAGAATATTTTTTACTGACCAGAAACCTAAACTCAGCTTCCCAGAAAACATACGGGAATTCACTGAGACCTGTGTCGAGACCTAAACGATCATAAGCCTGCAGATAGGAGAAAATGCTTCACTTCTCATCAAATTAGCAAATATCTTTTCAGTTGAAGCTCATGTGGTTAAGTCACAAACAAGAGGAAACTCAAGTCTCCTGTAGATAACATTTTCATTCAAAAAACAGTGCTTGATTTCTAACAAGTTACCCTAAGACCGACTATATTTGATGAAGAATCATCAAGGTAAAACATGACCACTCTCTTGATGAACACTTGAGCTACACCTATTCCGCTTGGTATCTGACTTCTGTGGCAGAGAACATCTAAGAACTGTGTTGTTCAATACATTAGCTACACGTGGTTGCTTAACTTAAAATGTAAATTACTTAAAATTAAATAAAGCTTAAAATTCAGTTCTTCAGTATCAGCAGCCACATTTCATGTGCTCAACAGGCACGCGTGGCCAGTGACTTCAGTAGTGGACTGCACAGATATATAACATTTCCATCATCACAGAAACTTCTACAGGAAAGTAAGGATCAAACTGAGTGAACACAGCATGCAATGCAATGTCTGGGACCCTGACACTATCTTGAGTCACCAAGGTAATCAATCAGCAGTCATACAGAGCTAGCCTGGACTAGAAGGAAGATCTAGGTCATTATTTTATTTTAAAGTTGAGGAAACACATACACAGAGAGCTAATGTATCCTGTCTGGGGTTATCAGGTTATACGGCAGGACGGGAACACCCTGACGACACATCACCATGTGATGCACAGAACTCTGAACTTGGCTTTCAGAAGGAATGCATTCTATAAATAAGACCTGATAACTAGTCACGATTCCTTGATTCTCAAATAAATGTAGGACTCAAGAAGTAATTTCTGGCTGTATATACTTCTACTGCTTAGAGACTAGCCCCTAATATATTCAATAAGATAGAAACAAACCATATTCAACTTTGACTGTAATCACTGCTCCCAAACTTACTTTTTACTTACAAGACCGGCACTCTTATTTTTAGATAGGTGGTAACATCTATTTTCTCAGGGACATTTTCTCATAAGAATTCTACTGGTTCACAGTGGCTACAGACTTCTACATGCCTTCTTTATTTTAGGTAGTAAAATAACAGCATAGAGGCACTTTTTCTACTTTCCTGGCATCTAGTGACAGCATCTAGTCTTTGTCTGATAATACTAGAGCAATCCAAGTGGAAACTGAATCAACAACAGAGATGATCAGGGGCAACAGGATTCTACAATGAAACATCCTTTATGCCCCTTTAGGGTGGGTCCCGCAGTGACAATTCATACACACCAGGTTGAGAAGAATAAAGGACTTAGAGACAGAAGGTAAAGACTAGAAAGAACTGAGGGTAAATCTTCAGAGTTTTATGTTAAAGAACATGCCCACTACATACTAAGAGGGATGCACTATTCTGAATAGACTGGCCAATATTGGAAATGATAGCAGAGCATAGCCCCCAAGGGAGTGGCAGCCAGGAATCCTAATGCCACTCCCATCAAAGTATGTGTCTACACTAAAACATACTGACTCCTTACATATTGATCATTGATATCAGACTAAAATATCCAGTGTAGCTGAGACATTACCTAATTGCATTGCTTTAAAATAATTTTTAAAAGTGAACTGAAACATTCTAGATACTGATTTATCTTCTAAGAGTATACCCATGTGATTCAAATCTGTATTTGCATATCCTACAAATTTCTAAATAATACACTTCAATATTCAATGCATATTATCAGCATAAATCAGTTGGAAAATACTGAAGACTATTAGCGGCTGTGAACATAATGCTAACATAGCACCTACCTTACTGGCAGTGTGGTGTAGTGGAAAGAGCATTGGACTGGGAATCAAGAGACCTGAGATCTAGTCCTGGCTCTTCCATGACTAGCTGTGTGACCTTGGGCAAGTCACTTAACCTCTCTAGACCTCAGTTTATTCATCTGTAAAATGAAAGGGTTGGACTAGATCAGTGGTTTTCAAACTGTGCCACCTGAGGTGCTTAAGGGATTTTGTAGGCAATGAAGAACTTTTCCCCCAAAGAATCAAGATTCTCAAGATTTAAAGTGCCAGAGGAACCCAATTCTTATTATATGTGTTAATCATCAGGGTTCCACTTAAGATTTCATTTTTAAAGGAAAAAGTCTGCGGCTAAAATCAAGTTTGAAAACCACTGGACTAGAAGATTTCTGCAGTCCCTTTTAGTTGGCAAACTCTGCAATTCAAGTATTTTATATTTACAGCTAAATACCATAGTTACACAGATCAAAACACACAGTGCTGATAGTCCTCTGCCCAAACCATAAGTACCTAAGGCAATCACCTTAGCCAAGTTCTCTGTTCCTTGGTTTGAACAATTTATTATTTATATCTTATTTTTTGTGCAAAAATTAGAAAACATCTTCTTAGTGCAGCCCCTGTAGAATTTCTAAATAATGAAACATCTTTCTTTGACCTATTTGGGTCAAACCACTCCAACTTACTAGTTTTCCCTCTCCTTGATCAATGAAAACAACAACAACATTGGAATAATTTTTACAATTTTTAAATGGTTAGATACGCTATTTATCTTCATCCTTAGTGGAACCCTTTGTTCAGTGCTATTACTTCAATGACCCAATTAAATGGGAGGAAAAAAGCATTATTTTTTCCTAAAGCAAGGGCAGTAATGTCCTAAAAGGCAGGCTAGGGCCCGAGTCTGTTCTCTCATTTCAATCAGGTCTTACTGTCCTATCCTGGGGCCCATCACCCTGCTAGCTACTGAAATAATAAAGCTCATGACCTCACAAGGGTAGTTTACATTCTAACAGTTGTGAAACATTAACACTTGCAGAGGCGTGGTGACTAATACCTGTAGTCCTGGCACTTTGGAAGGCTCCAGGAGGAAGGATTGTTTGAGTACAGGAGTTTGAGACCAGCCTGGGCAACATAGTGAGACCTTGTTTCTACAAAAAATAAAAAAATTGGCTGGGCATGGTGACGTACACCTGTAGTCCTAGATACTCAGGAAGCTGGGGCAGGAGGATCACTTGAGCCCGAGATCGAGGCTGCAGTGAGCCACGATCATACCACTGCACTCCAGCCTGAGCAACAGAGTGAGACCCTGTTTAAAAAAGAAGGGGAAAAAAAGAAAATACAAAAACTTCCACTGTCCACAAAAATAAAGCTATGAAGGGTCTCTCTGGTGCTTCCTCAAATTACTAATGTCTACTTATAAGGCCAGTTCTATTCAAAGCATGTATGTTCAGAAGGGTAACTCAAACAATTGCCATTTGTCTGTCTGCTTCTTAGAAATGCCTACACCTACCTATATCTCATTTGCTTGGGTGAACTCCATATTTGCATTCTTCGTTGCCCTTTTCAGTGTATTAGGCAAAATTAGCAAAGACTTTTCATTGTCCCATACCAGTATACCCATGAAATAACTCAAATTCTAGTCGAAATTTGAAGTGAGAAGTCTGTTATGTCTTAAGCATTTCTGAAAGGTTTTATTTGTTTTTTAAGTCTACCTGAGGATGTTCTATCTCCTTACCAGGAGACATTTTCCTCAACACAATCTAACCACTTCCACATTTAGATCCCAATCGTTTCTCTCTCGAGGTTTAATGTTCTAAGGGCAGGGGATCCTTAGGACCCAGTTGTGTGATCTCCAGTTACCATCTTTCTGGCTTCAGTATTCTGCTCAGTGAAATGGGACTAATAGAAAACAACACTTGTAGAAACAAATTAAGAGGCAACCTAATTTATACTTTACCCCATCTCAGGCTCTTTTTTTCCCCAGCTCCTCAATAACAGAAACTGTAAACTATTAGGAAAAGAAAATAAATGTCCTTTAAAAACTACATGAGGCTGGGCATGGTGGCTCATGCCTGTAATCTCAGCTGTTTGGGAGGGTGAGGTGGATGGATCACTTGAGTTCAGCAGCTTGAGACCAGCCTGGCCAACATGGTGAAACTCCGTCTCTACTAAAAATACAAAAATTAGCCAGGTGTGGTGGAGCATGCCTGTAGTCCCAGCTACTTGAGACCAGCCTGGCCAACGTGGTGAAACTCCGTCTCTACTAAAAATACAAAAATTAGCCAGGTGTGGTGGAGCATGCCTGTAGTCCCAGCTACTCGGGAGGCTGAAGCAGAAGAATCACTTGAACCTGAGGCAGGGAGGTTGCAGTGAACCAAGATCATGCCACTGCACTCCAGCCTAGGTGACAGAGCGAGACTCCATCTCGAGGAAAAAATAAAAATAAATAAAAACAAAAACTCTACACGAAATATTTTTAAAATGATGATTAGCTAGTGTGTGCTGGTAATCCCTTAGTAACATTTATATAAAACAGTGTAACATTCAGGGAAACGGGGAAGTATGAAAAAAAATCCATCATAAAATCATGACAATAAGTAGAACAAGAGGACAAATCTCCATGGCAGAAGTGGGTGTAAGTTTTTTTCTCTACATTGACATTTTTTTTTTAATGTGAGGAAATACCACTATAAATATTGTTTTAGGGGAAGGCAAATTGATAGAGCACAATAAACCTAAGAAAGAAGAAACTTAAATTCTAATATTCATCCTGCTATTTATTTATTTAAATAAATTATGTGCCTTACGCCCTCACTTATCTGAGTTTTGACAGACATTTCACAAGTCCAAACTGGCCTCATTTCTCTTTTGCTTTCTGTACCATCTTCTACCTATTACCCAAGTAGAAACTTGAAGTCACTCTACAACTTTCTTTTCCAAATCTAAGTGCTATTGCTGATCCCAAGCATCTCTACACGGGTCCCTCCTTCCAGTCCCAGGATACCTTTGTCTTGGCCCTTGTCACACCATGGTGCCA